TCCCTCCCTGTGGGGCGTGGCGTGTGGACACCCCACGCCGGGCTCTCCCTCCTTCCCTCCCTGTGCGGCGTGGCGTGTGGACACCCCACGCCGGGCTCTCCCTCCTTCCCTCCCTGTGGGGCGTGGCGTGTGGACACCTCACGCCGGGCTCTCCCTCCTTCCCTCCCTGTGCGGCGTGGCGTGTGCGCCCCTCACGCTGGGCTCTCTCCTGGCCCCCCTCCTTCACCCACCATGTACTTGAGCGCAGAGTCACGTGCTGAGGTGCGGGGTTAGCTTTTGTCACTGTGTCGTTTTTAGGGCCGGTTTTGGGCTGAGCACACACGTCTGTCTGTGGGGCAGGATGCATCGGCTCCTCGGGGCTGGTGAGGACAGGGGGAAGGGGACTGGCATCTGGGGGTTCCCCATGGCTGTGGGGTGAGGCTGCCTGCAGGGTGGCCTCCAGGCCAGCAGTCCGTGCACCCGACCAGCATCCAGGTGCCGGGAGGGCGTGTGGTGGCAGCGGGAGCTGTCAGCAGATGGCGTGACAGGTATCAGGGGTGTGACAGCGCAGCGTCAGGGATTGGGAGCCTTCGCTGTGGAGCAGGGGTGGGTGCTGCTTTCTCCGGGAACAGCGTGCCTGGCCCCTGGGGCACGACCACTGTTCAGGAGGAGGACAGCCAAGATCTGGGCCTGGGCCGGGGCCTCAGTCTGCAGGGCGGTGGCCTTGTAACACCGCTGGTGAAGCACCTCGAGAGCCCAGGCTCCTGTCAGCGTCGCCCGCAGCGCTGTTCCTGTGGGAAGTGCACCCCGCGGGGCTCTGCTCCCAGCCGTTTCCCCAGCCCCTGGGTCCTGGCTGTCCTGGGCCATGTCGTCCCACTGGGGAGATGGAGCCCAGATGCAGGTGTGGTCCCTAGACAAGGACTTGGGGACATGTTACCCGCTCACGCCCAAGTGTGGTGTAGCCATCCATTCCTCCTGTGGGCACACCTCGTGTCGCAAGGGACCCCCGTTCTGCGGCCGGGGCCACCTGCCCCAGGGCCGACCTGCGCAGGTGGAGGTTGGTCGGAGCTTAGCCCGGTATCTGGAGTATCCAGGGATGCCACCGGCTGGACGGGTGGCTCTGCCTGGCCCCTCTCCCTCCCCGAGCCTGCTGTGACCTGTCCTGCAGGCCTGTGACAGGTGTCCAGGGGAGCCGGGCCCGGGCGGTGGGGGCAGCAGCTTCCCCTGCCCCACCTGTGCTCGTGCCTGGGTCGGGTACTTGGCACTGTAAAAATAGTGTGGGGGCAGTGTCTGGCCTCTGCTAACTTCACAAGGGGAAGGAGAACCAAGACTAACAGCCCAAGGCTGCTTCCTATGAGGCGGAGGGCAGACATGCCTCCTCCCCGCCATCTTTACCAGCTCTGACACCAACCGTCCCTCCCACAGCACTCTCTACTTCTCTGCTGGGTTCACTAATTCATTGCAATGGCCACACAGAACTCACAGACCACACTCACAATTATGGGGTTTATTATAAAGGAAATAAGTTATAATTCAGGCTCAGGAATGCTCAGGATATAGGTCCTCCATCAGGACAGTCTCTTCCCAGCTGTGCTCGCAGGCACGCCTCTCCCTGGCCCTCGGCCTCTGCCCAAAGGCACTCAGCTTTCTTTCTCTGTGGGCCAGGAAGCCCACTGTGCTGTCTCCTGCTGCCGAGTCTCTGCTGCTGGGTCTCTCCTGCCACCACTTCTCACCGTCTTCAGGGTTACAGCTTGTTCTCTCTCGGTCTCCTGCTTCCAGGAGCTTCTCAGCGCAGGGATCCTGGGTCCGAAGGACGTGCTCTCCTCTCCTGGCTGTTCTTGGTGGTGGTAGAATCCTCCTCTGCTCTGGAATTGGCTCTCTTTTAAGGCAAACTGACCAGCCCCCTTAGTGGGCCCCAATTAGCCTTTCGCACAGTCCCACCCACTCACCTGGGTGGGAGTTACAAGACCATGGCGAGAAAGGGCACACACACCGATAGTGAATCCACACAGGCGCAGACCTGTCAGGGAGCCCTGGACCCTGGGCCAGGCTCAGCCTCGCTGGTGCGGCCACTGCTTTCTCCCGCGTACTGCGAGGTGCCATAGAGGTGCTGGCGACGCGTACTGCGAGGCGCCATAGAGGTGCTGGCGACGCGTACTGCGAGG